CAAGACAGGCGTTTCAATAGTCTTTGGGCCTTTCCTGCAGTTACCCTCTACTTGTGTCCTGGAGCATCAGCTATACTACAGTGTGATCTGAGACTCTCTGAAGCTTTCAGGTGTGTACATACACACAGAGATGCTATCTGAGACTCTATACTCCTTCTGCTTGAATTACTTTTTGCTGGATTTGGTGTGTAATCTGTCTACACTGGAAAATCAAATTGATGAAACCATCTTTAAAGGTTTACCTTTTTATTTTTGTATAAGTAAAAAAGCACATAATTAATAAACATTTGTAATCACCAACACTACAATAATACAGGAGTACTTGCTGCTTTCTCATCTGAAATCAGTCAGAACTATATGCAAGCAATTTGAAGTCATAAATAATAAATAACTGTATGTAAACTCTGAGAAGTTCTGGTCTGATTATGTAGACAAAAACTTAGGAAAAGAAGAGAAAGACTAGGAAATGTGTTAGAGGTATGTAAAACAATGTCTTGGAAAAGTATTGGTAATGGTTAATCATTTTCTCATAGCTGAAATACTATAGATATCTTACTAAAATAAAAGGCAACAGGTTTGACACAGAAAGGAATTATGTTTCACAGAAGGCATGAGGTAGGAGCTAATTTCCCACAGGATGCTGTAGATATCAAAATACCCTGGTAGGTTCAAAAAGTAATTGTCACGGTTTATAGAAGAAATCTTTGTTAAAGTATGTAAAATACAAAGATGCAGTTATAACTTTCATCACAGAAAATATTTGAGTAGCAGAGTGGAAGATGGCAGAACAGTATGTTAGGGGAATTACCACTCTAAATTCCCCTTATTCTTATATTTTTTCCCTTATCCAGCCACACTTGAAAACAGGATACTGAGGCAAAGGGACTGAGTACTGCTTTTCTTCTGTTTCATCAATTATTTTCTTTATCATGTCTGGAGTCTATTTCCTCCTGCCATACTTGCATAAAGACAGAAGGAAAAATGTGCATACTAGAAAGACTGTTGAAAATGCACAGAAAAAAAATCCACTTCACTTAGTCATTTCTGACACACCTAAAGCATTGTTATAATATAGAGGTATCCAAGTTTTTCAGAAAGAAATGTCAGCTTTGAATTTATATCTACTATCACCATAGTATGGAACCTTTCTAAAGCTTAAAGTTTTGTGTTCATTAAGGTTATTAATATTTGCACTACTACAGATACTTTACCTTCTTGTACTATTACAGTTTAACTATTGAAAATCTCCCTTTTTTTTTGGTTCTATAGAAGGATAAGAGTTAGTGTCTGTTAATTCTATAAAGAGATAGGTGACCTGTGGATTTACAGATGGTAAAATGCTGTCTGAAACATTCACGTCTAGACTAGCAAGCAGTAATTAGTTTAACTGATATGGTTGAACTAGCTTAACTACTGCAAGCTAATTCCAAATATCAAGTGATCACATAGCAATAGTTATTCTATAGATCATTGGTGATATAAATACGTCAAAAGTCCTTATACAGGGCATAATTTTGTTGAATTAACCAGAGCACATGTAGTGACTATGCCAGCTGATACTATCTACATTGCCTTTAGGACCTCAGTCTGCACAACAGTTCTTTTCAACTCCTGCCAGCGCACAGTGCAATGCTGATGCTACTGTGCTGTGGGACATCATTGCAAATTTAGTCTAACAGAAGCATATGTCAGCAGAGCTACAGCAACGTAAATTTATGCCTGAACATATCTTGCTTTATATAGTTAAATTGCTGAAGGGACAGTAGGAGAGGCAAACATCAGGTGAAAATCATAAAGCACAGAGGTAGGATCTGCACACGTTTTGACGGTGTCATGTTAAAGATGTGTGCCTGTGTGCTTCATTAATTATTTTCAGTGGAGTTTCCTTCATAGTAGAATGATTAAGCAGAATATCACAGAATCACAGAATGGCTGAGGTTACCAGGGACCTCTGGAGGTCATCTGGTCCCACACCCCTGCTCAAGCAGGGCTACCTAGAGCAGGTTGCCCAGGACCATGTCCAGACAGCTTTTGGATATCTCCAAGGAGGGAGATTCCATAACTTCCCTGGTCAACCTGTGCTACTGCTCAGTCACCCTCACAGTGAAACAGTATTTCCTGATATTGAGAAGGAACCTCCTGTGTTTCACTTTGTGCCCGTTGCCTCTTGTCCTGTCACTGGGCACCACTGAAGAAAGCCTGGCTCCATCTTCTTTACGCCCTCCCTTCAGGTATTGATATACATGATAACATAAACATTGATGAGATCCCCTCTGAGCCTTCTCTTCTCCAGGCTGATCAGTTCCAGCTCTCTCAGCCTTTCCTCATAGGAGAGACACTCCAGTCCCTTTAGTCATCTTTGTGACCCTTCATTGGCTTCTCTCCAGTATGCCCATGTCTCTCCTGTACTGGGGAGCCCAGACCGGACACAGCACTCCAGGTGTGGCCTCACCAGTGCTGAGTAGAGTGAAAGAATCACGTCCCTCTACCTGCTGACAATACTTTGCCTAACACAGGAAACCATTTGCACATGTCACAGGGCACATTGCTGTCTCTTCTTCAACTTGGTGTCCACTAGGACCCACAGGTCCTTTTCTGCAAAGCTGCTTTTCAGCTTGGTGGCCCCCAGTGTATATTGGTGCATGAAGCACACAGGGATGGAGATATTGGCAGGAAAGTGTTAAGCTAAGAAAGAAAGAGAGGGAGAAGCGAGGTGACCCGTGGCAGACAGAAGTGGATGACTGAGCACTGTCAGTGGGAGATCATCTAAGCGCAGACCATGGCAGGTACTTTAATACTATCCTCTATTAATACGTACCAAAGTTGCTCAAACTATATTTGGTAGAAGTTAGATATGTGACAGGAAAGATGAACTAGACCACATAGGCAAGCTGCTTATAGAGTTGCAGAGCATTTTGCAGTAGAAACTGACAAATATGAGAAACAAAATAAAACCCAACTCAACTGAATGTTTTGAAGTCCTTCATTTTTGAAGTCTAATGCTTGGGCTAAAGACTACTACGTTAAACTGATTTACTTTTATAACAGTCACCAGCCCCAAGCATACTTTACAGTGGTTTTGAAAGTAATTGATAGTTTTGCAATTATATTAAATACAAAGACCCAAATTTGTGCCCATTAGCTCTAAATAGTCGAAGATATTTATACATGCATGTCTTGAATTATCATGTACTGACAAGGAAATGAAACACCTGACTAAAGATGTATGACCGTGTATTACCATTGACACTCCTTTGATGTAAGCAGAACTTACATCTTAGAACACAAAAACATATAAGGAGCTGGAATTCGTCTTTTCAAAAAATGGTAAAACAATAATCCATTAAAAGACTTTCTTATAACCTATTCTCTTTTTCCATACCTCATTGCCAAGGTCTTTAATTCCTGAAACACTAAAAATAATTATTCTTAGAGAAACAGACAGAAGACCTATTTTATCCACTATACTTTGTACCTTTTTGCATTAGATAATTAGGGACATTAGTTCATGATTTGCAACACCTAGGGAATACTGTCATTAGCAGGGGAATGTTCTCTGGTACCCTGAGGAAATGAAAAGCTTTTAAGAGCAATCACTGTTAATCACTAACATGCCAACATTATATACCTTCTGGAACTGAGGATGATATAAAGACAGGACACATTAAGTGACTTTGTATTTTATTTGCTTTGTAGGCTTTTGATAAAAATGTAGTTTTAAAACATCCCTTTGTATGGCTTCCTTTCATTACAAAATACATGGTATCTAAAAATTCTGTAAGATTTACACTTCTTCTTGTACAAGCTATTGAAAATATTCTTTCTGATTCCATAGTTGAACTTCATTGTGCTTTTAGCACTATAATACTTTGTTACGTAATTTCACTTGAGTGGTAAATGCCAAGGGCAAGAAGATGACCCTTTTGTAAGGGTGAAAGAAAAACTAAATCTAAAGCTGATAAATGTAATTAAATTTATCTTTACTTCCAGCTCAGCAGGAAACTAAGCACCTGCACAGTTGCAGTACTCACAACTGAGTATATAGATTAACATTACACTCATGATTTGCAAGCAATTGTTGTTATTTAAGTTTTTTTCTATCTATTCACATATTTTCCATCCAATGTTAATGGCATATAATATCCTACAGAAGTGTTAATCACATGAAAGATAGTAGAATAAAACAGAGAGAAAAAGACTATTTTTTTAAGAAAGCAGCTTTTTTTGGGTATAGTATTAATAAAATCAGGGTCAGGTGTTACTTTTGGTATAAAGCCAGAATTTGATAATACTTAGTAAAATCTTTTTGTGTCTTATTTCCCTGCTGTACAAACCGCGGGTGCCTTACATGCCAGCACCAAGCCCAGCACCACACCACAGCAAGCACACACTGGAGAAGGAGGCAGACTGTACTCATGCACTGGGGTCCTCAGTGGGGGTCCCCACCAACTAAAAACATTGGACCTGCCAATAGAGCAAGCACATATATCGGCCAAAAAAATAAATCACAAATATTGACTCCAACTAAAGGGATTTGACAAGTTTATATACTTGGGGAGCTAGGAAGGACTGAAGAAGTCATCTACTGCTGTTCACCTAACGAAAAATTCCATTAGTGCAATTTATGCCAATTACTCCTTGTGATAGTTATTGAGAACACAAAAATCAAAATCTTTCTGCTCACTGACCAAATTCTTCAGGACTTTCGTTCTTTCCCATTATTTCATCTTTAGACAAACAACTCCAACAGAATTTTCAATCTGTCCTTGAACAAAGTCCTATACTAAGTTGTAATTATTCTGTTCTAGATGCTTTCTAATTTGTCTGCATTTTTGGTCATTAAGTAGCTCAGTTTTTGCAGTGATTGTTTCCCCACTTGACCAAACATGCAGTATTTAGCTAGTGAATCCCATGAGCTTCATTGCCAGTCATTCTCCTACTGCTGAGATTGCAGTGCCTATCCTGTAAATGGATGGTAAATTAAAAAAGGAAGTGCTTACGTTCTTGAAACCTCTATATAAGATCTGAAGTTCCTTCTTTGTGAATTTACTCTGTGCTTCCAGCAGTTCAAGAGCTTCAGGTCTGTGTCGTACTGTGGCCATTTCCATTTCATCTTCTACGGTGTCTGCAGAATACAAGAGACAGAGAAGTAAAGGTCAACAAGAAATATAAGAAGTAGAAATATCTAACCCTTGCAGAAGCAAAAAGAAAGTTAAACGACATTCTTTTAAAGTACAGCTTTTGCAGCTTTAAAGACAAATAGCATGCTCATTTTGACCTCGTAGGAAAAAAAGGGAAAGGGTATCTGTCTGCTTCAGTGTCTGCACAGAACAGGGAACAGCAGTGATGATCCAGCAGTCTGGATATTATCACATCAGTACAAATAGCAATAAAATGGAAGGCCAACATTTGGCAAGGGCATGCACGACACATTCAGAATTACTTTTCTGTTTCTATGATTCTCTAAGCAAAGAAAACAATTTTATAAAACTCTAGTGACTCCAGAATACTGGAAAATTACCCTTGGTTAGTTGATGGATGTGACCTTACAGTATCAGACTGGGATTCTCAGTGTTCTCCTTTTCCTGTGAAGTTGTGCTTTGGAAAGTGTGAGCTTGATGTTGCATGTTCAACAGTACACCCTACTTTGATTACCGTACAACAAATGCTTCAGGGCAACAACATTATTCACGGTGAGCAGCTTAAGCGGGGAACGTGAGTATTTTAGTGACCTCATCATTAGGTGAATAAGAATGTGGATATACACATTCAAGGCTTACAGCGGAGTGCAGCCCGAAAAGAATGTAAGATAGCAATGCATTTTTTTACGGGTAGAACTTTAAATGTGAAAGTTCAATAAAATAGCTGAAGAAACTTACAGTATGTATTTTTTGTATGGGCTGCCAGCCATATACCTGATCAAAAATATGAATGTGTGTATCTGTTTTTAAGTAGTCCCAGCATTAAACATAGCTTATGTAGTACTCCAGACTAATTTAATCAAATCACTGCCTTATTCTGGTTTAAGATACCAACTATAGAAATGTAACTTGAGAGAAAACAAACACACATAATTGTTGCTTCTACAGTGCTGAAGAGACATATTTTATTTCATCCAAGTGTGGGACCCTGCATTCTTATAATAAAGTTTTATTCCGTTCAGTTTTTATAAAAGCACAATATTAGAATACTCCATTAAAACCATATTATGCTTACATCTTCATATATTTTTGTTCTGCTACAATGCAGTAATAATAACTTTCAGTTGCTTGGGAGAAATCTGGCATCAGAAGATATAGTTCAGCTAAGCAAAATGTACAACCTTTAAATAGATATAACCAAATATACAAACTATTTGGATAAATCTCCACAAAATTGTAGGGCCTTGTCTTTTCTCCTTTCACAGAGATGTTGCTGTTGGCACTCATCTCAGGAAGATGATCTCGCTGTCACCCATAGTCTTATCACAGAATGTCCATTGTGTGTTGGCTTGTGGACAATCTATAACATATTTCTCTCTCGTTTTTCTTTATAGGTTATCTCAGATGACTCATAGACCGCTACCATCTTTGTGAAAATTTCCAGTCCAAATGCTATTGACAAAAAACCCCACTGACACAATTTTATATTGTCCCTGTGATGGTTAATAATAGTTTCAAAGGGCCAGTATTTGAACTCACAAGATTATGAGAACATTTCAGTTCTCTTCTTAAACAAGACAGTTTCTGACGTGCTGAGGTGCAAAGGGGAAGTCTTCAAAATCCTGCCCTTATAGATGGCACTGGAATAAAGCTGGTCCAGATTTAAGAATCTGTCTTTCTCATCTGTAGGAGGTGTAGCCAAGTTCTTGTGTCCCGTTTTAATTCTGCATAAGAACATCCAGGGTTTATTATGCAAGGTTTTAAAAGCTTTTCCATCATGTTTTAAGAAATGTAACTTTTATATTTTTTGAATAGTTGCTCAAGTCCCTGTAACAATGTCATGCTGTAGATATGCAGCTGAATGTATTTTTGTCAACTGTAAGTCAACACTAGGTGCTTATACTCAATTGACAAAAGTCAACCTGAGAGTAGATATTGTTGAAAAGTCACTTGTGTTTTATATGCCAGGCGTTATATGGGATTTAAATGGGCTATTGTTTAGACAGAAAGGGACTTAACTGGAAATGAGCTCTCTAAGCATCCATTTGTGAAACACCTGGCTACCTAGAGAGACATCCACAAGCTGTTCTAGAAGCGAAATGAGTACACATAATAAATGTGAGGCTAGAGATAAAGGCCAGACAATGTGATGCTGAGCACAATGTTTGGTATATCCTTAGTAATAAACATTTTCACTGTGTTTTAATGATTCGTTGAGAATGTAGAAGATTGCAGTGTGGTGATGTTGTCTTTCTGTTAATGAAAAGTTTCAGCGTAACACTCTTCTCTCACTCGATTTCTGTAGTTTCTTACAGATATAAATAATCCCAAAAGAAGATCACCATGAACTTCTGTATAATGTGCCAACTATGCTGATTGAAATATGATAGCATTCATGAGTCACTTGCATGTTTTTAATTCTTTTCTTCACACTTATGGTTACTGTTATCCCTGCTAGAAAAAAAATTATACTTTTAAAACCCTGTGAGAATACATCTATTTCTAAACGTTAACGATTTCTATGGCATTAATGAAAAATTAGTTATTTCAGTTCTCACATTTCTTCAGCCTAAGAAACTTAAGGGTTAGGGGTTTTTTTTTTCATAAAAGGCTAACATATGTCAACTGAAAAACGGTAACATGTTCATATTCACTCATTAATATATTAAACAAAATATTCTTACTGATTTCATTAATGAGTAGCTTTCATATAGCTAAATAGCAAAGATAGTTTTTAATATGTTTGCCACAGGAGCGATGCTTTGAACCTTTCATTGTTCGTTAAAGAACAAAATGGTAAATACAATGCAAAAAGCAGACATACTCTTGAAATAATGGCAGTTGGAGAAACACGTCCAAAGTTAGGGCTCAGTTTATGTCTGTAACAATTGTGCCCATGCATTTGCCTGCACAAATGCCAAATTTTATCTCCCCTATCGATTTAATAACTGCATGCACACACGCTTTTATTTTCCAAAACCATTTTTGAGCCTAGTCCTATCTCTAACACATGCATTTAAAAATTTAGCTAAGGAAGTATGGATTTAAGGCTTACTAGGCTAAAGGACACAAATAAGAAAAAGCATTCTTTGACATGCTGTGTTGAATGGGAATGCTGATATAAGATTTTATTTATTCAAGTAACCTTTTTCTGTGCATATTGATGGAAGTTAAGCGCAGAAGTGCAAATTCAGGCTATGTATATTTCAAGAAATTACTTGGTTCAAAATATATTCCCCTTAAAATTTCCAAGGAATTCACATAACGTGGTTGTTATTGTAGGTAGTGCTGGCTTTGTTCCTAATAAATTACAGTGTTGGTTCTTTCATGCTAGCAGAAATCAAATAACACACTGTGTCAAAATGGGATAATAACAATGTGTGTCTACAATGATATTCTTATTAAATATAATATTTTCATTGAATATAACATTCTTAATATAGCACTTCATTATTGATGAGAGTACAGAGAAAAATGCTGAATGCATCTTTTTTTACTACTTGGTTCTCAAATAGGAAATATTTAATGCAAGTTTTATTTTGACTTCTCTTCTGGTCTACAAAACACTTTTAGCAAGAAAATACAAGTTTTGCATGATCAGTGTTATTAAGACTGACTCTAAATGTTTTTTGTTACCTGTGCAGACAAAAAGCTCACATAATAGTATGCAAGGAATAAGGACATGTTGCTTTCCAACCAGCTTCAAACAAACGGATCAAACCTTCTATTCCTTCCATTCTATTTTCGTGTTCTATTCTATGCCCCATCATTGGAAGTGTGCAAGGTCAGGTTGGATAGGGCTTTGAGCAACCTGATCTAGTGAAAGATGTCCCTGCTCATGGCAGGGGGTGGGCTAGATGATCTTTAAAGGTCGTTTTCAACCCCAACCATTCTGTGATTCTGTGATTCCACGATTCTGTGATTCCTTCTATAGCCTAAGGCTCTATTACTCAGGCCAGGTAGCTGAAAACAACTTCGATATAATGAATTACGAGCAGGTATCATGACAGCAACTGACCTTTTTAAGCTACCCTGTTTTCAAGTAAAATACATCAGCTGAAGCCACCATGAAAAAGTCATTGTGCATCCACCTCTTTAGTGCTTTTCACCTTTTTGATCTCAAAAAGCTAGAAAGGAAAACGAGTACCAGAGTCTCATCTATAGAGGATCATATGAAAACCAGTGAAGTGGGGTAGCAAAAAGAAAACCTAGGTCCATACCACTGAAGACTAGGCACTTAGTAGGGGCCTGTGTTTGTAGCCAAGTTGCCTCAGTTTGCCCCATCATCACTGGATACAAGGAACTGCTCTTGGAGTTATTTTTTTACCGTTGATTGATTGGTATGCTTTATCAGAAGAGTATACAGGAAGCATAGGGACCAGTCAGCTTGCAATTTTAGGTGTTCAGATTAGTGCCTAGAATCAAGACAAATTAATCTAGACTGAATTGGGGCCACAGGGATATTTTAAAATCAGTTATAGTAGCCAATTTATATAGGAAGACATTAGTGTTATTACTATAATTTATCTAGGTATATATATAGTATGTAAGTATTTATGTATGGATCTCTTTCC